ATGCTGAGTAGCACAGCAGCATCCCTTTCCTGGGTTTTTATTGCTTTCAATTCCTACAATCCTCTGAAGATTAATGGGTGTTTTTGGAGTGTTGTTTTGTTTTGAACAAGCTTTGATGAAGTTAAAATAAATGCATTTTATTAACATGTACTAGCTGACAACTGGATAGGTTCAAGGGTGCGTGATCAACATAGAGTTACTTTTTAGACACCATTTGTTTATCAGAATATTCTCTACTTCTTGCAGATGAATTTTTATTTTTTATTTATTAATGTTAGAGCAGTGGACAGAAATGTGATCACTCTCATGGTGTGGTGGCTTCTTCGTTGAACATATTTAGTCATGATATAGATGAAACATAAGCTTTTATTACAGTTTATGCCATGACGCAATGCTAACAGATAGCATCCTCAACATAAAAAATATTTTAACATCGCTAGATGTCTTTAGAAGAAAATAATTCAAAGGTGAAATTATTACTCATTTGATATTTAATCTTGAGGAACAATGTGAAGAGCCATGTGTCTCACAGTTGTTACTACCATAGAAAGGCTTAATATTTTGTTTCTCAAATCTTTTCAGCTAATAAAAGTCATACTCAGTGATACATTACACATTGAATTTTTATATATCTTAAGGAATCCTGAGTAATTTACTTTCTGTTGCTGCTGATTGGCAAATATTATGGATGGTAAATGGTGTGGCAATCGAGCAACTAAGAGTGAAGATACTATGTTTTGGACCTAGAAATATGATATATCTTCATTAAATTTCAGAATACAGTGATACAAAAAAATTCACATTTTGTTAAAGAAGGAAAAAATTGTGACCAACAGATTCTTATATTCTTATGTTGTTAAAGTTTTCCAAGTTCATTTTTTGTCCTTTTTGCTGTGTTTCCTAGGCAAGTGTCCTACCTCTTGAGCCATGCCACAGACCCCAGTGTTAGTTTTTATGAAGTAAATTGTTCCTGGTAATTTTGTTTTTAATTAATGATACTGACTCTTATTGTCCAAAATGAATGTCCTTAGAAATTCAATGTTATTCCTTCTTACTCATTTTTAAATATTTGACCATCGTTGCTTTTCTCACTTTGCATTTAATTTTACTTAGCCTCCACCGTTTCATTTATTAGCATGCCTTTTCTCCCCTTAATAAGCAAAAATAAAAGTTGTATACTTAAAGAAATTTGTAAGGGACTGTGAGTATAGCTCACAGTAGAGCATTTGGCTAACATCCTAGGTTTGATTCCCAGCATCAAAGAAAGGGGGAAAAAAAAAAAATATATATATATATACATATATTATTTTTGTTATTACTGTATGATTTTTCTAACCTACAAAATATTGTCATTATTGAAATTATAACTTCTACATGACATTATAATTTCTGCTTGATGAATTCTGTTGGTATTCTAAGTCTGGTTGTAGGGCTGCAGAAAAGAAAAAGAGACACATACATAAGATCACCAGCTCATCATTTCAAACTGTTAAAAAAAATACTCTTGTGGGACATACAATTCCTCAAATTTCTTGTGATCTACATATATTCATTGGACAATCCTGGTACATCTATTATGTCCTATTTCTTCTAATAATGTTAATTTCTCTCTGTTTCTATATTTAATTTCTACCAGTATAGGTAGGTAATCATAATCTGCCAGATTGATTTTAGGACACAGGCCTAAGTCCTCCACAGGAACCTTCACTTGGTCTCACTTTGTTCCACAAACTACCTAACTACCTAACTTTATTTATTTGGCAAAATGTGCTAAGAGAGTATCTCTACTTATTTCTTCAAGCTTCCTCTTTATCTTAGAGCTAGACAACACATTTATGATTTAAATTTCAATCTGTATTCAGCTAATTTAGCCATTGTCTTCTTTCAGTCTTGTTTATGTGGTTTGCTATGCCCCTAATGATTTAATTCCAATATGCGTAAAATAATGTCTCAGTCTGATGTTCTTGTCCTCATACCTTGACGAACTTCTACCACATATAAATAATTTAATTGATATTTCTATTATGTTAAAAATGTGACAAATATTTTGACAAAATATAACTTCATTTTAGGTTCACAATTTATTAATGCATCAATTTTAAGGCCTAATTTTGGAAAATGTCTGGCTAGAAATAGTGTCTTCCTCCACTATACGGTGCAACACAGCATCTCTATGCTTTTTCTTGGGGAGGATTCCAATTTTTTTTTCCCTTTAATGTTGTGCTGGATGCCTGTTATACTTATTTTACCCATGCTTTATTTCTTCTACTTGAATGTAAGATTGTGATAGAATAAGCTTTGCACATACACTTCCCCAGAGACATATGTACTCAATAGACATAAACAGAGTAGAAATATACTTAATAGATACATGATGAATTAGGGTGTACTTATTTGATATAATTGAGACATCAGTTTCCAAGGCCAAGAGCGGTGGTTTATGCTTGTAATCTCAGCACTGGGAAGCAGACTCAGGAGGATCATGAGTTTGGGGCCAGCGTGGGCAGCATAGCAAGACCAAGAAACTACCAAAAAAAGAAGGAAGGACAGAAGAAAGAAAGGAAGGAAAGAGGGAAGGGAGAGAGACAGGGAGGGAGGGAAGCAAGGAGGGAGGGAGAGAGGAAAGGTCAATTTCTAAATGTAAAGTCAAAATAATTATGTTGTCTTTTTTTTTTTCACAATAATATCACTCATGCACTCAAAGGACTAAGAATAGCAACATCAGATTAAAAATAATTGAAAAGTGGCAATGCTTAAAAATACTAGATTTAAGTACATAAAGGAATTAAGCAAAACATTAATTTGCAGTAGCCCACAAAGGGATCCTTAAATTTATACTATTGCCTCTTTTCACACTACAGACCTTAGTAATATGTGTTATAAGTTTATCAAGTGTTGCTTTAAGTTGGGAAAAAGAAATACTTTATATGACATAATAAATTAGTGAAATTATACATTTTATCCTCTTAAGCTTCAAATGGTTTGAAAATAATGAGTGTGTTGCCTTTATATAATCACCATGCTTCATTTCCTCAACACATTTTTACAAGTGCTATGTACCATTGTGCTATAGGCAGTAAGAATAATTTCAGATAAAATAATCATGCATTTCTAACAGGCATTTTTTTCCAGTAGAATAAAACCTGTATTCCTGCTATGTTAAAAGTTCCTAACTTATTTACATCAGGACATGGCCTTGTGAGAATGCTTAACACACACCTGCATGTCGATTTTAGAATCCATCTGACAAAACTCCCATTATGATGCAGCTATTTGTATCTGGTTTTGTTTTTTTAAAAAGACAGACTCTGAATGAAAATATCTTAAGATGTGGCTGTACCAAGTAATGGTTTTTAAAACCACAGCATAGATTGATTGATTTTCTGAAGCTTTTGTGGAAATGCCTCTTTTGGGGACTGAATATTCAACGCAGGACTGGAGCTTTTAGTATTTGACAAGGGATCAAATCAGTTTCTTTCCTATGACTTGTGGCAAAGTCATTATATTCAAAAGCCACAATTCACTTCAGAGCTGCTGTAAACCAGCAGGGAAGTGATATTGGTTAATCATACACATGAAAAGCAAATGTACCCATAATACATCCTAATGTTTTATAGGCAGTCTTTTTCTGAACTTAAAGAATTGACTTTGTCTTTATATTTTTATATTACCAAGTAAGAATTATAAAGGTTTATAGCTTATAGAACAAACACAGATTTAAGCAACATTTTTCATCTCTGTAAAGAAATTGAGGATTGAAGTTAGAAAACAAACTTAGATTTCTGATAGTATGTTACATTTTTGTCCCTAAATAATTAAAGCTGAGCACCTAAAAAGAGTGAAAACCAGTAATTTGAAAGTGAGCATCTCAGAAGACAATGCACCATATGAATGATGCTATTTGTTGGATCCTCCCACCCTATATCTTACAGAATGGGTACACTTTAAATGATAATAATTAGAAACAAGCTACGTGTGCAGTCATTATTTCTTACTTTGGGTAGGTATGTTGTAGGAAAAAGTGCAACCTATGTCAGTCAGGGAGTAGTTCTACAATTTGTCTAGCCTCATCTGTCTCCTCACTGATTATGTGCCATGCATTCTTATCAGAGACTAGTTCTCACTCTTTAGTTTGCAAAAACAATCTGACAGTTTTTCCAAGAAGACAAATCCTCTTTTCTCTCCCAGGATTCTGCTAAAACAATTTTGCTATTATCCCTAGGAAATTTTATGTCTAAGTACCACCTCGGTTGATTTGGTGCAGATAACCATGGCTTATACACTGGAGAGCAGAGATGCAAAGGAATGTTTTAGTCTACAAATCAGAACAACGCTTCTCAGGGAAAGAGACCAAACAATTTGAGCAACTGACTACTTCCTGTTGAATCAAATGACAAAATATGATCAATATTAACAATCAAATTATTTTCTTAATTTGAAAGCACAGAATTGTGTATGCACAAGTTGTTCCTGAAAACTCTGCCTACACTGATAGGTAGAACTATATTTGGCCAGTACCAAGAGATAGCAGATAGCAGATAGCAGGCTAAATCCTAAATGAAATTTTGATTAATTAATTGTTAAAATGAAAATTATTATAAAGTATAATAGTGTTTGAATGAATTTATGATGGAAATACTAAGTTTGAACAAAACAAGCTTAAAAATAATTTTCTTTCAGACACGCAAATTCCTCCCCACCCCACCCCTGAAAATGGGTATTTCCATGGTCAATCTTTCATGTGTTTTTCTTTCTTTCTTTTATCATTTATAATGAGCATAGTGGATTGTTGGTCTATAGAGTTTCTGCCCATTTTTAGATTTTAAGTTGTCTCTAATAATAATCTTTCTGAAATAACTGTTTCATTGATATAGTAAACAATGACCTACCCTCTCCATGTACAAAAAATGTGACTAGCATTGTCAAATTTTCTTCTTGAAAATGCACTGCAGTAGATACACTGCATATAGTTAATCAGTTCATTTTTGTTCTATTTATAGATTCAAGAATGGCTTTGTTTAAGTTGCCAAACCCAGAGAGCAATCTCTGGACAGCTTGGAGACATGGGAAAAATGCTATCAGGACCCAAGGCATCCCCCATGCCTGTCCCTGAAGAGCCACCATCTCAGAAAACAGCAATGCCTTCCCAGGTAAAAGTGAAAAAGAAGGAACCGGAGGTAAAAACCGAAGCTGAAAAACTCATTCCAGAAAAAGTGAAAGAAACACCTTTAATTGAAAAAGTACCTCCTAAGGTAACTACAGATAAAAAACAAGAAGAAATTAAACTGGAGAAAGATGAAGTTTCAACCCTTCAAGAAAAAAAGCCACCCCCAGAAGAAAAACCACTCTCAGAAGAAAAAATGTTAGCCCTGGAAGGAAAGAAGCCATCTCATGAAGAAAAGAAGCCAATCCCTAAAGACAAAACGTTACCCCCAGAAGAAAAGACATTGGCTCTAGAAGAAGAGCATCATGAGATTCCTAAAACTCAAGCACAAATTGCTGATGAAAAGCCCAAAAGTAGAGTAGCTCCAAAGGCAGAACAAGAAGAGAAGCAGCCACAAACCAAAATGGGTGATCTGCATAAGGAAGAAGCTAAGACTACCAAAAAGATGAAAGAACAGCTCCAGACAGCAGGCATAGCAAAACCTGATCAGATGGAACCTGGGAAAGAAAAAACAGTAAGTTTTCTTTTCCTAACTTTTCAGTCATGTATGCAATGTACTAGCTTACATTCATTTATTGCTCAGGGATAAGCACAGAGCTGATGGCTTTCAGACAATCATTACATTTCCAGAGAAGCATAACAATTGTTTGGCTGAAATTAATAACTTTTCCTTTCTGGTAGCTTAAACAAATTTATATGAAGCATAAGTACAAATTTATTTTTTCTATTTTCTGTCAAATAATTTACCAAACTCATACAGTGTGATTAAGGAAGTTTAATATATATTCATTTTTTTCTTCATGATGAACATAAAAATCAGTATGTCCCTTCAACATAAAGCAATGTGTCATCATATAAGTTTCTGTTCACTTTGCCACTTGGTTTTACAAGAGGCAACACATTTCTTCACACTGAAGCTTTTAAGATATGGTCAGCCTTGACATGATAACAGAAAAAAACAAAAAGAGGTATGCCTAAAATCTATAAAAAAATATCATTTTACAAATTCATAGTTTATTTTAGTATTTATCATTTTAATGTTATGTATATTAGGAGTTTTGTTCAATACTTTTAATATTGAATGATTACTCTAAGTCCAAGCACAATCTGGAATCTAGAATAATACTCCTTTTCTTTAGTGGAAACTTGTAGGGAGTACCCCATGTTAAGTAATATTTGCACAAACAATTGTATCATTTTTAGAGAAAATAATGTTTAGAGCTACAAAAAGTTCTTTCATCATATATATTTGAATAACTAATTTACAAATGACCAACTTTGATTCAATTGTTTTTCATTTGTTGTTTGTTTACAGTTTTCACACATGGTTACTAACCATCTGTACATGTTAAATAAATCCTGTTCTCTCTTCATTATATAAATGAGTACTATACAGATAAGAGTCAAAAAATAAAAAGTGGCTGTCAGTACATCCTTTATTCTAATGACAAGCACTGGCGGTCACCACTCTGCTTCTCCAGATCATTTGTAGAACTTCATGTTTTCTGCTGCTTCCCCTTTTAGGAAACTGTGCATAGCTTTCATGACCTCCATTTCTTTCTCTTTTTCTTTCTGATCACCCCTTATGAGTTCTACTTTGACTTCGTCCATGATCTCCATGGTTTTTCTCTGCCAGTCTTCAAACAAGAAAGTTTTTCTTTGAGTTATGTTGTCTTTCCTCCAGGTGAGTCTCATGAACAACAGCCTAAAATACTTGTGCAACTTCTTCTGCCTCTGTTTTCAGTCAATTCTCTTCAAAGCTTCACTGTGAATTCAAACTCAGTATGTCTGAATCTTTTTCACTTTCCTATAGTAGCAGTTTCTATTTCTGACTTTCTGTCTGTAATAATGGTGCCATCACTCACTATGTCCAGTCTCCCAGTGGCTAATCTTCCAAATGGCCTAATGCTCCCCCACCCACTTTGTTCTCCACATGGAAGTGATCACACTCCTGTCTAGTAGCTCCTCTTCTGATGGACCCTACCCTGGTCAGAGCCTTCATGAGCTGCCAATGTTGTGAGTGTTCTGATGACTGGTGACCACACCTTCCCTTTCTCCTTTCTCTCCATATAACTTTACTCCCTTGCTCAGATATTCTGAATGATTCTCCATTGCATTCTAAACGTAACCTAAAGACGATGTCAAATAAGTTGTCAATGTACTACTTTTTTTCATCTTTATCATTTTTTTATTATTTTCTTTTAGCATCATGATAAAACATTATCTTAGTACACATGAATCATTATATTAATCATAATATCATCATATTAACCTCAATATATGTGAACAAGTTGAGCAACCCTAATATAAAAATCTGAAATGTTTGAGTGCCCATGCATTTTACCAGTGGAGAACTCCACACCTTATTCAAGTGATAGATCTCCATCAGAATGCAGGCACATTCAAAATATTGCATAAAATTATCTTCAAGTTTTAGATGTAAGGTATATAGAAATCGTAAATGAATTTCATGTTTAGACTTAGGCCTCACTCCTAAGATAACTCATTATGTATATGTGAATATTCCAAAATCAAAAAAATATCTGAAATCAAAAGCACTCTGGTCACCAGAATTTTGGACAAGGGATACTCAACCTATATTTATTTATTTATAAATTGAATGCTTGCATTATTTATACTAATGCATTATTACATAATAAAATATTCACAAAGAATAGATAATAAGTGAAATAAACTAAAAATCACTATTTTCATTATATTTCTTTAAATGTAGATAAATTTTTCACATTAAAGATGATTAATTGTATTTTAGAGCCAGGTTTGTTGACACATGCCTGTAATCCCAGTTACTTTGGAAGCAGAGATTGAGAGGATTGCAGTTCAGCGCCAGGCCAGAGAGAGATAGATCCCATCTCAGCAAGATAGTCTGGCATGGTGGTAGCACATCTGCAGTCCCAGCTACATGAGAGGCTGAATTAGGAAGACTGTGGTCCAGACTGGCCTAGGCAAAAACTCCAGACCCTATCTGAAAAATAACTGGAGCAAAAAAGACCTAGGGAAGTGGCTCAAGTAGTAGAGCACTTGCCTAGCAAGCATGAGGCCCTGAGTGCAAACCCCATTAACTATAAGGAAATTAAAAATAGTAATATTTTTGAGATAACATTGATTGACTATGCATGAGTATCTTTTAAAATCTTGATGGAGGGGGTGAATTCAAGTATGATATATTTGATACATTGTAAGAACCTTCATAAATGCTGCAATGTACCCCACTCAGCACAACAATAAAAAAAAACTCTATCTAAAATTTTATATTAGAGTTACCTGAAATCTAGCTTCAAAATTAGCTACATGTAAATTTAATTTTTTTGCTATTTTGCTATTTGGTTTTAATGAGCACCCACAGGAGAAGAAAAGGATATTTCACAAGAATATCCCACAAGCGGAAGCAGTAGATCAGAGGTCATACTCAATCTTGTTACCTGATTTCCAAATGTATAGTTAAATACCATTAATTTGAAAAAATTGTGGAAATTCCACAAACAAATGCTAATGTTCACTGGTACCCATCATGTGGTCTTGTTAACTATCAGAAAAAAAATGTGCATTTCTTAAAGATAGAATGAAGAAAATTAGAGGAGATAAACCAATTGGAGATATAACACATATATACATGGAAATATCACAAGGAAATTCCCTGTGTAGCTACCTTTATCTCAAACAAGCAAAAATGTCATGTTTTCTTTTCTCTTTTTTTCTTCAAAATCTGAGAATAGGAGGGTGGAAAAGGTCTTGCAGTGTTAGGGGATACTAGTGAGAGGGGGAGGTGGTGGGGAAAAGGATTAGGAGAGTAAATGTGATGCAACTGGGTGCAGAAGTAAGTAAATGCAACAAAGATACCTGTAGAAAGTATTCCAGGAATTGGAGGAAAGGGATAAAGGAAAATAGTGGAGGGAGTGAATTCAAGTGTGATATACTTGATACATTGTAACCACCTTCATAAATGCCACAAGTACCCCCACCCAGCACAACAATAAAGGGAAAAAAAAAAAGATTATTTGTTTTAAATAGCTTCAAAAATCATTCTGGAGTTCTTCAGTTGGGAACTAGCCTTCATTTGAGGCTAGTTCTTCATTTCTAATTAAATTGAAATTTTCTGTTTCTAAAGTTTTAAATTGAACTGTTTCTAAAGTTTTGAATTAAAATTTTCTCTTTGTAAAGTTTTAAAAGTAGCATATGTCATTTATGTAGTGTAATCACATGATGATTTCAAAATGTGCATGTACCTTAGAAGGACTGTTTCCCTCATCATATTCTCAGATAGTGTTTGAGCAGATTTTTCCTAGACACTTAGTAGGTAACACATTGCTGATAGCCAATGTTTTCTTTCTACCTGAGTATCAAATAAATAGTGACTTATTGATTACCACAGGGCATCACTAAGAAGTCGGAAATTTCTTTTTTTTTTTTAAGAAAAAGAATTAAACCTTCACATTCTGCAGCTTTTAAACTTTAGTGGTATTAGAGTTTGAGCTCAGGGTCTTGCACTTGCTTGACAGGCAAGCGTTCTAACATTTGAGCCATGCCTCAGCCCTTTTTCCTTTAGTTATTTTGCTGATAGGGTCTCCTGTTTTGCCTGGAGCTGAACTCAGACTAGCTCCTCCTAACTATGCCTCCTACATAGCTGGGATTACAGATGAATACCATAATGCCCCATGGGGTGATCAGTAAACTTCTGTGAGAAAAAAATCATTTTATAGTTCTTTTTCATCTCACTATGAAATATTAAAAATATTGTTTCAAATATATATTACTTCAGCACCATCCTGAGGCACTCTGTCCAATCCTGGCTTACTTAAAAAGGTGGCAGTAAATGAGTTTCACATTTACTGCTTTTTATGTGACCTTTGTAACTTTATAATTCCACTCCTCTGTGTTTAATATGCAGGGTTTTCTCATATATATATTATGTTTTTCATATATGTTATATTCTTTACTAAACAGATGGTTTAAGATTAAGGCTGTGTCTTCATTGGTACATTTTTCCAGGATTCTCACTATAGAAATTCTCTTGTATTTCATTACTTAAGCAGAAATCAGGATATATGAATTGGTACACCATTAGAAATATCCATCATCTGATTCTGTTGTTACTGAACCTTTTCCCTCTTGATTTTTCTACTAACTCCCACAAACCTTCCACAATTATCTTTTTGTTCCTTCCAGCAATGTTTTCTGACAAAGGAATGTAGCTCAGTTTGTTATCATTTCATTTTCCACATATGACTTAAAGCCATTTTTCCATGACAGGAAGTTCCCTCAAATGATATGTGACGTTTTGTCTTTTACTATAAATAAGAACAAACATTCCAAATGTTTTTTATTAAATTCAGTTAAAATTTGTAAAGTGCTGAAAAATTTCTTTGCTAAGATTATCCAGGTGTGTGATGATGTCACACTATTCTAACTGAAACTTCAATGCACATTATTTGCTTAAGGTAAGGTTAGTTACTCTTCATAGTGGTCATAGATAGAGATTTCAAATAGTTTTTC